GACTGACTTATTTCACTCAGCATAACACCCTCCAGTTCCATCCACGTCGTTGCAAATGGCAAGATCTCATTCCTTTTGATGGCTGCATAATATGGAATAGAAACTCTTAAAAAAAACCAAAAAACAAACTCTTCAGTGCTCAGTTTTTCTGTGGAAAGCCCTAAAAGTACCCCCATGCATCGCATTCACTGTTCCTTCCTTTGTCCCAATTTTCTATCTTGATTTCCCATAAATTGTTCTTCTCCTTAAAAAAGCAATACCCCATATGTATTATGGACAATATAGAAGAATAAAGATTATAGAATGACCGATAATTTTACTCCCCCTTGTACCATTAAGATTTTTAGTACGTGTGTGTTATTTCTTTTTTCATGTTGCATTGTAATTATATACTTCCGTACCTATCTCCTGTACAGAATTCAGATACATCGAGGGCAGGGACTATTTTGCTTGACTGTGTTTCTAAAGCTTCTTTGGCAAATAGTCCTCAACTACAGTGGAGCCAAATGAATTTAACAGAAGAGCAAAAGGAACAATACGTTGAAGTCAGGAGTCCCGTGTGACATTTACAAGCCTCTCTTTTGCCTTCCAAATTGTTGGGGGAACTATCAGAGTACCCACTGGTGTATTCCTGGAAGCCATATTTTTAAGTGCACACCAAAAAGTGCACATCCATGTCTGGATGAATCTGAGAGATGCATCTCCAGGAGAACTTTCATTATAGCACATCAGGCCTCATGCTTCGTGGGTGGGTGGTGGTAGAGATACTCCACTGCCCACTGCTCATTAACCACTTGTTTGATCACCAGGGAGATTTACCTGCTGCCCCTTGGTTCTCAGTTCCCTTTATGGGACAGCCACTCTACCTGCGGAAGCGGTCTCCTTCCCAGGGGCCTGGATGGTGTCCTCCTTGACACTCAAGGCTCTTCTGTTTTTGGGACTTTGCAGAGAGGCTGGTACCAGACAGAAAATGAGTACTACTTGCTGAAGTTCACGCTGACTGTGCGCTGCCTCTACTACACCAGCTTCAGTCTGGAGTTCTGCTGGCAGGAGATGCCCACCGGGAGCAGCTTCTACTCCTTTCACTGGCTGGTGGCCTATGTCTTCTATTACCCCGTCTTCCACAACGGGCCCATCCTCAGCTTCCCGGAGTTCATCGCAAAGGTAGAGCCCACTGGGGACTGGCCTGGTATCCTGGAGATTAAACCTTTGTCCTTACTGGCCGTGGCCATCCAGGAGAATCCTGAGGCTTTGCATTCAGGGGTTCCCACAGATTGAAAACACGTGATTGTTGTAACTTCTTACATAAGAAATGAAATACTTAGGGGGAATAAGTATTTGAAATAAAGGTCGACCTGTCTCTTGTGCCTGTTGGCTCAAGGAACTGCCCCCGCCCCCCGCAACTCTTCCGTGGGCTCTGGCAACCAGGATGAGTAACTGGGCACAGCAAGGAACTTAGGGCTGGGTATCCACTGCCAAGAAGTCCCAGGGAAAGAAAAAATTGGATTGTGATGGTATTACTTGGAAAAGTAAAGCTGTTGGTTGGCAAATACCATGTTGTCTTTTATTGTCACAAACTGCTTATGAAATAACTCTGTCATTGCCTGGGAATTGTTCAGGGTGACCTAGATGAGACAACAGAGCAGAGCTGGATGGTAGTGGTGTGTTTTGGGGTCCACGTGCCTGTTTCTGCCCTGGACCTGGCTTCCCTTTAGCCTTGTCTGAAGCTTCTGTCAAGCTGCCTTTGTCATTCCCACCTCCCTTCCCCTCCTACTTAGAATTTTTGCGCTCATTCCACAGCCAGCCTCATGGAACATGTTTAGGAAGTCAATCAAGGTTTAGTCATCGATAATACCTAAAACCTGTGTTTCTCGAGGGATTGTTCTACCGCCTACCACCAAAATAAAACAGTCTCGGTGGAGGTGGGGAAGAACAACACCTGTGCACACACAGCACAACCTATGCACACATAGAACACAGCACACACCTGTGCACAGTGCACACATGTACACACATGCACACACATGTACATACACACTCCTGGAATGAGTTCAAAGTGCAGGGCCAGGAGCAGCGTTGCATATTTGCAAAGGGCAATATGGAAGGTGCCCCCTGGAAAACTAGCAGTGTTCTTAGAAATCCCATATTCTGTCTTCAAAAGCCCACGCAGTTATTCATTGTTCTCAAAAGTATATTTCATTATACACGTTTATATTGTATATTTA